ATGTAACAGGGTCCTGTCACTGTTTTAAAGAAGTCAGAGCTCTTCTCTCCATGTCTTGGAAAAGTTTGGACAACTGTTTCTCTAAAAGTTGGAGAAAGGCTTAAAAAGTATTACAAAAAACATTACAAGGTAAAAAGAACTTGTCTCTCAATATACAAAAAAGTATTAGCAGTTTACTTTTGTGTTACTCTTCTATTCTGCATAATTCAAGTTATCTGCAACCATATTTCAATCAATACTACATCAAAACATTTTAATTCTAGTTAAGATCAGGTTTGTTACTGAGATTTCTACTATACCAATCTACAGAGCCGTTTATAATGCAAAAGGCAAGTGGAGATTGCACTCTTACTGATATTTAAATGCTCCCAGAACCAGGTGTGGTGGTGCACACCTGGAATTCCAGCACTCTGAGAGGCTGAGGCAGGAGGATTCCTGTGAGTTTGAGGCCAGCTTAGACAACACTGTGAGTTTAACACTACCTTGAACTATAGAGCAAGACCTTGACTCAGAAAAACAAACAAACAAAAGGGTTCCTTTTTTGTGAAATTGCCATTGACCATCTATGTTGGTAAAAGATTTTTAGTTTTCATGCGTAAAGAAAATTGTTCTTTATCTATAGTCAATTTTTTCTTGCAAATATAATTTTTTGCATCTATAGGCACTTTTACTTAAAAGATAAATGGACAAAATGCTCCAAACATCCTTCAAGAAGGGGTATTTCAAGACAACCTTGTTTGGAAATAATATTTAGAGTTTTTTGTGGCCTTATAAAAGTTTCATAGAATTTGGACTCTGGAGACTAACCTATCTTCCATTCTGTTTACGTGCATTAAACCAAAAGCCATAGCCAAAGTGAAGTTAAGTTAGCCTAACTGGAGGGCCAGGAGAAACCAGCACAGATTAGGAATATAAGAATGGTGAACCGTCTTGACTCAACCAGACTTTTTCCCAGTATGGAACTCTAGATTGCCCAGTTTCCATTGATCCCATGTGATAAGTTGGTATTTCCTCACTCTTCCCACTGCCTACTCCCCTTGTACATTTTCTTTCTTTGACCTCTGGTCACCTATCCTATCACAGTAGCATCTTAAATATGTTCACTTCCTTAGCCTTTCCAAACATCTGTAAGGTATGTTGTCCCATTTGACACCAACAATTATCCACCTAATAATCACCTTCATTTCACAGATAAATCAATAGCTATACAGTGAATTTGGGGTGAACAGTCACATGGGAGAGATGTTTGTTATGATGTTTTTCCACTCTATCGTAGTCCCTCTGCACCCCTTGCTCCATCTCTAGCCCTCCCCTACTGCAGTTCCATTCCATTAGTGATATGTTTTATATCTGTTCATGTAAGAATGTGCATCTTCTATAAATAAGGAGTTACTAGACTGGGGCCAGCTTACGGTTAAAAGCACAGCCTCAAGGAAGACATTTAGGGATACAATGTAAAAACACCTATCTCTGAAGTAATAGTCAATCTATTACCATGTGCAATCACTGTTTATTTGCCTTTTGTCTTTCTTCTTCCTCTACCAGCAGAGAAGACATTGAACATACTGGTTTGGCGAAGAGCAGGGAACTCGGAGTTGCTTATCCTACTTTCACTGCTTGTCAGCCACAAGAAAGTGACTTAAGATGCCCAAACTTTATTTTCCCTTATGAAATGGATGTCATAAAAGTAACACTTTCCTGACATTCCTGCTGAAAAAATTTAAATCAAATAATGAATTCAAAATTCATAGCATAGTCCCTGGTATAGGGCAAGGCACAAAGCTGTTAACTCTTCTGCTGCAAGGTATACTTCTGTTCTGCTGCAAGGAATACTGAATATGATCATATGATCATTGGTTTGGTTGATAATAATTATCCATGGAAAAGAGGAGAATGAGAAAAAAAGATTTAGGATACATCATATACAGGCAAAAATTCTCTGTGCTAAGTGTGATCATTATGTATGTCAAAAGTGTACCAATAAAATTATTAAAAAATAATAATTACCAACTTAAGTTTCTACAAGGGAAATCTCAGCATATGTGTATCTAAATTTCTCATTCCTTCTCTGTGTAAGGTAAACCTCACAAGCCAACATTTAATAACTTTTGTACACCCTTATAGTGGTGCTACCGAGAATACGATGAATGCATTTATAGTGGTCCCTGTTAATACCAGGATAAAACTATGTTAGTTATTCTTGCAGATTTATTGTATTCATGAGATGCTATATTATTTGGATGTAACCACATGTTTAGATAAACCATAGTGGTCAGGAAAAATATGCCTTGATGCCTTCTGCTTTGCAAAATCTGCACCTTAGCTGATTGTGAAAAATATAAAAGCCAGATACCATATTCCAAAACACTCATTTCAACTGCCGTATTGTTTACTTGTTAAATAATTACAAATTATTATTGTGTTCTTTAAATGAAGACTACAGGGCAAGGGACATAGCTCAGTGGCACAGCGCCTTGCCAGCAAGAGTGAGATCCGAAGTTTGATTCCCGGTACCAAAAAATAAATAAATACTACATAAGTAACTATAATGGGAATGTTAGTTTAAGTGACACATGTTGATGTTGGTATTGTACTATGTAGCATTTTGAGTGGACGTGATCAAGTGGTTTTTATTGATGGATAAATTTTCTCTTGCATACACTAAAATGTTCCAGTTTCACCTACACTAGAATCATCTTGTATGTACATGGAGGTGACTGATATCAGTGGAACTGTCCTTTTGTTAAGCAACTATTTGTTGCTATTGCTGTTGGTTTCCTGCTTAAAATAAAATCATTTTTTAACCCAGTTGAACATTTTCCTTTGGTGATCCTGAACCTATGCTGTAAAATGGAATTTTATGTTGGACTGTTCTGATAAATTTCTGGTTGTAGTGGTTTTGTGTGCCTGGTTGTGTGTATAAGGGTGCATGTGTGTTTAGGTTTCCACTTAAAGGTGCAGTGCCAAAGCTACAGTACTCGCACATTTTCTAAATGTGTTTTAAGCAATAAGTTGTACAACATTTTTAGAACATGTGTTAAGCTATTTCTCTAAGAATGAAGCTCTTAACAAAACATAAGCACTCTGCATGAGATCTTAGCAGCAAAGTGCTTAAAAGATAAAGTAAGAATTGGTACCATGGGAAGAACACCAGCTGTAGAGCGCACAGGTCCATTATGAGAAGTATGGTACTGGGTAGGGAGAAAATGATTTAATCAGGAGTAAAACCAATTTTATTATAAGGGCACGCAGGGGGTGTGGCACCATAGTGAGAGGGACATTTCAAAATATCTGACAGATTTCAACAATGTGAAAACCCCGTTCTTTAAAGTGACAGTGAACCCCATCAGGTCTCTCTTTTTGATGCTATTGTTAACAGTTGACTGTTTAAAGCTGGCCTGCTAAGATGCTGTCGGCCTATTTCAATAGTGTGTAGCCAAATAAAAGACTAATTGTTGAAATATAATCAATCAAAAATGATTGCAGGGCAGCGAGAGGGTCTCCTCTGCTGGTTTTGTTGTGGATCATATTATTGTGTTATGACTGAGGTAGGAAAGAGGATTGAAGGGAAGAAGAAAAAAGCCCGTCTGAAACAAATAGATCGACCTCATCCCCTGTTTACTTCTCTCTGTCTCAGACATACTATTGAGCATGAACACGACTTGCTAGCCCTGGAAATAATAGTCCATTAGAAAAAACAGATCTGATGGAGATGGGGCTAGTAGTTTTTAAAGGATATGAACACTATTAACAAAGTAGCTCATGCCGAGAATCCCTACAGTGACAATTCTCAGCTTTTGTGATATTTTTGGTGCAAAATGCTCCTTGGCACTCAAAAAACTGACACTGAGGGAACATGTGACTCTCAGCCCAAGACTTCAGTAAAGAAACAAACATCCAGTTGACCAAATACCTGTTATGTTCTTACCAGAATTCCTGGCTTCCCTGTGAACTCCCAGATTGTGTAAAATGAGTAGCTCTCATTTCTTTAAGCTCATTTGGAAAGACAAATCCTATGGATTAACAGCAATACTTCTGTGTCCTGCTCTTTTAATTGTGTGTAAAGCTATCACTGTCAGAGACTAATACATCCATTTCTTGGGTGAAAATGCTTCCAGACTTTCACATTGAGGGTGAGAAGGAAGATAACAATTGCCCTGCACACTGTATTTCTACTGAAACCTTCATTTTGGCAATGATTTTGTTTAGTATTTCAGTGTCTCCAATCCCTCCAGCTTCTCAAGCAAACATTTCTGTTGTTTCGAAAGAGTTAGTTTAGCACTCACGGTTTGTCTTCAGTGTGTTATCATTTTTGACAGCTTTGCATAGCCTACATAGGCCAACAGGGGTCTGTCTAATATTGTTGCTGGGCACATTTTCCTCACTGAGATGAAAATTGAAAAAAAAGATATTTTTGAAGCAGTAAGAAGGAATTAATATCTTTTCTCACTCAGTATTCTATTCCTCGCTGACTTTATATTCAGGCAAAAAAGGAAAAGAGTGTTACCCATTATTCCCTTGTACATAGCAAGGCTAACACATGTAAAGCAATAACTCATTTTCTATTGCCATGTTTAGCATATGTCTCCTGTTGGCTCAGCAAGGCCTTTAGGCCGGTCCCTTGAGCCGGCCATCATTGGCAACTCTTAGCCCCTCGGCCTCAAAACCAAATAGCTTTGAATCATGTTGCGCTGTGATGCTAATTTTCATCCTGATGCATTATGGGAATAAATGCATCTGACATACTGTGTCAATGGCGCTGTCTCTTTGTGTCTTTTGCTTTTTGTTAGCTGCATTCCTACAGATGGTATTCCATTGAAAATATTCCCTTCCTACGGAAAAAGGGGGGGAAAAAAACAACCACGCACAGCACCAAACCTCTAGGTGCAGAAGGCTGTGAACGGTTGCTGATGATAGTAGGCAAACATTAACATAATAATTAGTGTCTTGTAATTGTTTCATTAAAACCAGTTGTTCCATTTCTCCTCGTGTTTTCCCAGAAGAGAAGCTGAATTTGGACGACAGCCAGTGGGAGGACATCCACGTTGTCACCGGAGCACTGAAGATGTTTTTCCGGGAGCTGCCTGAGCCGCTCTTCCCTTACAGTTTTTTTGAACGGTTTGTGGAGGCGATCAGTAAGTACCATGCAGACAGGAGCAGTCGCTGCGATAACACGCCGTTGTGGAATTATTAAGTAAATAGTAATGATGACAGCAACAACCACGGAGAACAGATGATATTTCCAATGCTCTGTATCTGTCATTTTAGCTTTTGTGGTTTTGATGGCTTGTTTTATTTCTAGTCATGCAATATTTGAAAAAGAAGTTATTCAGAACAGAGAACATAGCATTATACTTAAGGTGACCAATTTAACTGAGCTTCCTCAAGTGAAAATAGCTTCTCCTGGAATTTGCTTTATAAGAGTCATCTTTTACAACCCAAGATCCTGCCTTCATTCTTGCAGAATTAGAAGGAGCTTAAGGACAAAATGGTCTTGAAAAGGAAGCTAAGTCAATGAAATATTACATTTCATTAAGTGTGTGTAACATTATCAACTGAGATATCATGGTCTCTTTGCTTACTCACCGTTTGCCCACTAATGCTATGAAATAGCTACACTTTGCTTAAGAGCAGTGTGAATATCAAATAAACTGATGAGAAGTCCCTTCTGTTTGGGAGGTAAGTTTGTGGGAGGATGAGTTATATCACTTACTAACCGGTGGTCACTGAACGCTCCAAGTAAGTTCTTTTTCTATTATTTTATCCCTTATTGAAATAGACACTTGACTAAAAATACATGGATGAGTAAATGAATGAATAAAATCTTTTCCATATGTAAGAACATCTCTGCCATGGATTCTTAGAAAATCAAGTACTCACCCATCTCTACATTTAATATCTTATTGTACATTTTACTATAACTGTGACAGTTTAGAAAAAAGTTTCCTGGCAAGCAAGCAGATATAAAGAGAAAAGAGAAAGAAAGAAGAAAGAAAGGTAAAATTAAAAAGCTTGCAAGCCTGGCAGGAGCTTAATTAAAGTCCCAAGGAGAAAAATCTCCAAGAAAAACTGCTCTACTTAGGAGGTCTGATCTTGGATGGCTGTGTGTGCGGGGATCTCATTAGCAGGAGCAGGAATCGGGGTGGGGCATGTTGGAGAACAGCTTCAGTGACCTTTTATTCTGTTTTTCATTCGTAAAATCTTCACACTTGTTTAGAGCTCTGGCAAAGTGAAATCAAGACGAATAAAGAATAGCGTTTTCTCCCGCAATCTTTCTCTTGCTGTCTGCTCACTATCTCAGGTTTTGCTGTTGCTGCCATTGTTGTTGTTTAATGTAGTAAGAGTAACTTCATGGAAATGAAGTGAGGCTGGACTTCCGATGCCTTGTGATGAGTTCTCTCTTCATGAACATGTTGCACTTCTCCAGAACAGTGTTTTACAGTTCCAAGGTTCTCTTAACTTCATTTAAAAGGGAGGAATGAAGAAAAAAAAACAAGCATGCATTTCCATAATAGCTTATCCTTACACTCTGTCTTGTCACATGCAAGCATGTGAGACCACTCACAATGTGAGGACAGCATCCTAGTAGGAAATTGCAGGAATTTGCATTCAGGCATCTATTATTTATTCTTTGGAACAGATTCTCATTAAGTGCCTAATTGCTCAGGCTATGTTTAAACTTGCAATCTTCCTGCCTCAGCCTCCCACACTGCTGAGATTACAGATGTGTGTCATCACACCGAACTCCAGGCACCTATCTTTGATTGTGAACAGTTAGTGATATACATGTCAGATCGTGAACTCTATACTGTCAAGTGAGGATTATCTCATTTGGAAACATGCACTCATAAGCAGATTTGGGTGTATGATATAGGATAGCTAGCATTTAAACCTTCTTTAGCTCATCGAATTCCAAAGAGATTGGGTAAGCCATTCCATCAATTTGAGTATAGAAAGTAGGCCCTCCTAACTCATGTGAGGGTTTGTCCTTTGCATTTCCGTAAAGAGTAGGATGCTTTGTGGGATATCTTAGATTTAAATCCAAATTGCTGAGAATTCCAGAGACACAGGAATAGTCAGAACCGAACCAAACAGAGGCAAGGAAGGCTGCACACTCTTGGGATCAATGCCTTTAGCAAGGGCTTCTGCCAGACTTTACACAATAGGCTATGGTAAGAACCAATGAGACAGTGCTAGAGAAACTTCTTTGAAAATGTGACGCTAAACTGATACTAATAATATTTGTCCAGGAGATCTGTGCTTGAGAAATCAAGCTAAAATAGAAAGCAAAAGAGTTTTCCTTCATTGTTCAAAGCAAGCAGAAAAAGGGCTATGACATGAATGTTTATACCCAACCAACATTCATATGTTGTGATACTAATTTTCAAGATGATGGCATTGGAAAGTTTGTGCCTTTGAAAGGTGATTTAAAAATGAGGATAGAGTGCTTAGGACAAGATGAGTGCCTTTATAAAGAAGGGACCAAGAGAAGTGCTGTGACTCTTTCACTCCATGAGGACACAACTAAAGTTGCCATCTGTGAACCCTTACCAGGCTCTGAATCTGTCAGTTTGGTTTGTCTGTCTGGTCTTGACTTTCCCAGCCTCTACAGCTGCCATACATAAATTTCTGTTGTTTACCTATGATCCAGTTTATGGTATTTTTTATGGCAGACCAAATAGACCAAAATACTCAGCAACTTTGTCTTAACTAAGTTAGAATACTAGAATGTCATCAGTTTTTAATAGTTAAAATGAAAGGATTAATTAATGGTGTAATGCAGCTGAAAAAGATGTTCTAATGGCCGGTGAGGATATGTGTTGACTAACCCATGTATTTTTTGCATAACCTTGATGGTAGCTCTTGTCTTCTTAACCCAACGCAAACTCTAGATTGCAAATCATACCCTTACACATACCCTTACACAATGGAAGAATGGCCACTTAAATTCTTAGCAAGGTAGAAATCACACCAAAGAAGATACTCTTAGTTCACTGGGCACCACTTGAACTAAAAAAATAAAAATTCAAAAATTTTAAAGTTGACATCATTATTAATTAAACTATCACTTGAAAAAGTACATAAAAAGTAAATATGTTTAAAAACTCCTTTTTTCCCAATTATGTACACGTTTACAACCAGCTTTGCCTAGAGAGCTTTCGGCATCATTATTTTTTGAGCTAATAAATTATTTTCTTTCTTCCCTGTCTTGGGGAGTTAACACTGATGGACTTTCAATACATTTCCCTTCTTTTTTTGTTTTTCACTACCCAAAATCTTAGAAGAACATGTAGAAAAAAAAAAGATAAAAGAAATAAAAGATCTGTTCTTGATGATGAAGTTGTCAAGAAATGTCTTCTTTCTAGAAAAGAAGCTTGCGTCTTTTGAGCTCTTGAAACAATTACCTACCTGTATTTACTAAAAAGACTGTTAAAATTTCAGACCTAGACCACGTAGAGGCTTCCGGCTGGGATTAACTCTTAGTTTCTTCACTTTTGGCTTCTTCATCATGTAGGTAAGCAGTTCTTTGCATCAAATAAATTCCCCATGATGGTTAAGCTTAATTGTCAACTTGACTGGCTTGAGAGTTTTCAAGGGTGCTAATGAAGCACCCTTCCAGGTATGCCTGGGTAGGCCATGGAGGTATGGCCGTAGTGTCTGTATCTGATCCCCGTCTCTTCCTCTCTGGTAGTGTTTCTGCGCTGTTCCTCGCACCTGCAGTGAACTAAATAGCTGTACTCCTCCACATCCTCCTTCCTTGATGTTTCTGTCTGGGAACAAATGGGCCATGAGCTGAATCTCCCAAAACCATGAAGCAAATTAAACTTCGTCTCTTTTACGTTGTGGGTGTCCAGTAATATATCCCAGCAGCAGAAAAGTGGCTAATACATTCCCTACTGGTATAAATACTTAAAATGGTTTCTGTTACTTGGTTAATTATGAAAAAAAAAATACCACACCTGTCAATTGCATGGTTTACCTGTCACAACGTTCTTTCCCTTTTCTCTTTCACTCTTTTCTAAAGCCCAATTTATGAAAGTTTAACATTTTGTTTGGCCCCCTAACTAAGAGATGTGTTATACTTTTGTGGCAAAGTCAAAACGTGAATAGACCAAATGGAATTTTACATTCAACTGGAGTGCTTTGCATCTAAGGAGGAAATGTTATTTCTAGGACTAGCAATTAATGACCACTTGTGTTACTTGTATTACTCTTAAGTCTCATTATATGTTTGAAAGTAATCATTACATATTCCAGAAAGAGTGAACAGAAGGCATTTACTTTTTAAAATAGTTTCTTTTTGGATCAGAAACAAAAATTAATATCATAAGAACCTGCAATTGCCATAGTGATCCCCTTTCACATAATCATCAGAGTAACAAAGCACCAGATTTTTGCCTTATATTTCAGAAGCCAAATACTATAGCTATTGATCTGAAATTCTATATTTGAGGTCAGTGCAATTGGGTCACCTACAGGTTATTTTGTAGGGATTTGACCCACTGACTGCAAGGACTTAATTTCCTGAAAATGACTTGTGCTGGAGGCATTATTTGTACTGTAAATGTGAACTCAATAGAAAAACACAGCTATAGAGTTTATGATGGGTGGCTCAATCTTGTGGCTAGAGGTCTGCAGGGTGTCTGGAGAGTTTTAGTAAAGCTAAGTCCTAAGAAATGTACTAAGTTTATCTCTATTCCCCATCTTTTTTCATGTTGGTAATTCCACAGATCCAAAGAAAAGAGAACAATCAGTGTCTTTCCTGTTTTAATATCTGAATTTCCCAAAGTTTCTGGGAGAGTGACAGAGAGGAAAGAAACACATGGGCGCTCCTGGTGATTGCCTCAGATGGGTGAAACATGAAATGTTGAGTGCTTGTGTGAAAAATAATTCCAACTCAAATTTAGTATGAGAATTAATTAGGATAAATTTGTCTTCATCTAGATTAGCTGCTCAATAAATGATTTTAAAAGAAATCAATATTTTAGAGGAGTACCAAATTCACATAGGTCAAAAAATTAGACTTTGTATCAGCTTAAGCCTTTAAAACAAAAATAACTTTCTTTCTTTTTCCATTGTCTTGAGGAATAAGTACCTGTTGCTCAGTATCTGTTATTTCACTCTATGTGAGACC